TAACCTATGGATTAGATTATAGACTACATTATAGACTAGACTATAGACTAGAATATAGACTAGACTATACTATAGATAAGACTATAGACCAGACTCTAGACTAGACTATAGACTAGACTATAGACTGGACTATAGACTAGACCATAGACTAGCCTATAGACTAGACTATAGACTAGATTATGGACTAGACTATAGACTAGACTATAGACTAGACTATAGACTAGACTATAGACTGGACTATAGACTAGACCATACACTAGCCTATAGTCTAGACTATAGACTAGACTATAGACTAGACTATAGAATAGACTATAGACTGTATAGACTAGACTATAGACTAGACTATAGACTAACTATAGACTAGACTATAGACTAGACTATAGACTAGACTATAGACTACTATAGACTAGACTATAGACTATAGACTAGACTATAGACTAGACTATAGACTACTAGACTATAGACTAGACTAGACCTAGACTACGGACTATAGACTAGACTATAGGACTAGACTATAGCCTAGACTATAGACTAGACTATAGACTAGACTATAGACTAGACTATAGACTAGACTATAGACTAGACTATAGACAGACCTATACTAGGACTAGACTATAGACTAGACCTATAGACTAGACTATAGACTAGACTATAGACTAGACTATAGACTAGACTATAGACTAGACTATAGACTAGACTATAGACTAGACTATAGACTAGACTATTAGACTAGACTATAGACTAGACTATAGACTAGACTATAGACTAGACTATAGACTAGACTATAGACTAGACTATAGACTAGACTATAGACTAGACTATAGACTAGACTATAGCAGACTATAGACTAGACTAGACTAACTAGACTAGACTATAGACTAGACTATAGACTAGACTATAGACTAGACTATAGACTAGACTATAGACCTAGACTATAGACTAGACTATAGACTAGACTATAGACTAGACTATAGACTAGACTATAGACTAGACTATAGACTAGACTATAGACTAGACTATAGACTAGACTATGAGACTAGACTATAGACTAGATAGAGACTAGACTATAGACTAGACTATAGGACTAGACTATAGACTAGACTATAGACTAGACTATAGACTAGACTATAGACTAGACTATAGACTAGACTATAGACTAGACTATAGACTAGACTATAGACTAGACTATAGACTAGACTATAGACTAGACTATAGACTAGACTATAGACTAGACTATAGACTAGACTATAGACTAGACTATAGACTAGACTATAGACTAGACTATAGACTAGACTATAGACTAGACTATAGACTAGACTATAGACTAGACTATAGACTAGACTATAGACTAGACTATAGACTAGACTATAGACTAGACTATAGACCTAGACTATAGACTAGACTATAGACTAGACTATAGACTAGACTAAGACTAGACTATAGACTAGACTATAGACTAGACTATAGACTAGACTATAGACTAGACTATAGACAAGACTATAGACTAGACTATAGACTAGACTATAGACTAGACTATAGACTAGACTATAGACTAGACTATAGACTAGACTATGGACTAGACTATAGACTAGACTATAGACTAGACTATAGACTAGACTATAGACTAGACTATAGACTAGACTATAGACTAGACCATAGACTAGCCTATAGACTAGACTATAGACTAGACTATAGACTAGACTATAGACTGGACTATAGACTAGACTATAGACTAGACTATAGACTGGACTATAGACTAGCCTATAGACTAGACTATAGACTAGATTATAGACTAGACTATAGACTAGACTATAGACTAGATTATAGACTAGACTATAGACTAGACTATAGACTAGACTATAGACTAGACTATAGACTAGACTATAGACTAGACTATAGACTAGACTATAGACTAGACTATAGACTAGACTATAGACTAGACTATAGACTAGACTATAGACTAGACTATAGACTAGACTATAGACTAGACTAGACTATAGACTAGACTATAGACTAGACTATAGACTAGACTACAGACTAGACTATAGACTAGACTATAGACTAGACTATAGACTAGACTATAGACTAGACTATAGACTAGACTATAGACTAGACTATAGACTAGACTATAGACTAGACTATAGACTAGACTATAGACTAGACTACAGACTAGACTATAGACTAGACTACAGACTAGACTATAGACTAGACTATAGACTAGACTATAGTCTAGCCTATGAACTCTTTCTCATATAATAATAATTTTTTCTTAGAACTAGAGCAAAGATTGTGAACGCTTTAAACAAAATATTTTAGTATATAAAATATGACGTGATTTAATAAAAAAACAAATAACACCAAATAACTGTAGCAGCAAAATAAGTAATTGAAAACTAAAACAAATCAAAAATAACTTAGAGATAAGAAAATAAAATCAGCAGCCATTTTACTACATCCCGCACAAATTTATCGCTTTCTTCATTAAACCAATAGAAAATTTAGAAAAAAACGTAAATAAAAAGGTATAAAATGTGATAAGAAAAAAAAAGAAAATAGTTTAAAATAATTAAAAAAATGGAATTATTAACTAAAATTAAATAATAATTAAAACAACAAAACCCAAAGAAAAAAACCAACATGATTTCCAATAAAGCAATAATATTGTTATTGATTTAAAAAAAGCCTTCAAACTTAGCAACACATTTAAATAACCAAATGCAATCAAAAAAGTTTTACTTTTTTTATTTTCACTAAAAATTCAAAGTGTTTTAGCAGAAAAAACGAAAAGGTGCTAATGAAATGTATTTGTTTAAATTAAAATAAATAAATAAATATGAAAATGAAATGATTTATAATAAATGAAAATGAAAACACAATATAAAATAAATATAATAAACAACACAATAATAATGACAACATTATTAATATAAATAATTTATTAAATCAACAAGAAAATAAATGGAAACCTTTCAAATGTTTTGCAACAACAACTCCTCCATTAACAACATCACCAATGAGTGCTACACAAGCTTTTTCAACAACAACAACAACAACTACATCTTTATTAGTTTTGTTTGACATTGATTTTCCTAACAACAACAACAACAACAAAATTGAAAATAAAATTTTCCAGCCTGATTTTCAGTTTATAAAAACAAGAGTCCTGTAACAGAAAGTGTGCATTTATAAGACATCTTTAGTTAAAGTTTTATATGTTTCTTTTTCTTTTTGTTTTCTATTTTCTTAAACAAACTTATGTATGCAAAAAAAAACATATGTAAAAGTGTGTGTATGTGTTTAAAGAAAAAAATGTTATTCTTATAAAGAAAAAAGTAACAAACAAATCTAACAACAAACATGCTTTTGAATTTATGACTGCCTGTTGCCCTTTACTTCCAAACATACTTACATCACACATACATTAAAATACTCACTCTTTTTTACACTTTTACTCAAACTCCTACATTGACTCTATAACTAACACTACCAACACAAAAAAAAAAAAAAAAGAAAAAACAATACAGTCTCAGTAAATAGACTTTAAATGAAAATTCAACCAAACCCTTACGATAACAACAACACCAACTAGAAAAAAGTAATTTACAGTAACAAAACCCCCCACCACAACGTTACAACAACGCTCTCCCCTTCCCCTCCCACTATCTCATTGGCATCAAGGTTGAGCTTTAAAAAAACTTTACGCTGATGATGGGATACATCATGGGTTGTGCTTGTTTTAAAGGTACGTGTTTACTCTATAAAAACAACAAAAAAAATTGTCATAAAAATAAAAACAAAAACCTCAAAAGAGTAAAAAAAAAACTGTAAATTTGTTCGTGTAATTTGTTATATTGTTAGTCAAAATTTAAAGCCTATTTTTAGGTTTATATAAACAGGGTAAAGAGATTTTGTCGCCCTTTTTTTAGTTAAAAATCTTAATGTTGACTTTGAAAATTGTGTATGTTTTTTAAAGCAAATTTAAAATATAATAATACTAGAACTGAACTAGAACTGAACTAGAACTGAACTAGAACTGAACTAGAACTGAACTAGAACTGAACTAGAACTGAACTAGAACTGAACTAGAACTGAACTAGAACTGAACTAGAACTGAACTAGAACTGAACTAGAACTGAACTAGAACTGAACTAGAACTGAACTAGAACTGAACTAGAACTGAACTAGAACTGAACTAGAACTGAACTAGAACTGAACTAGAACTGAACTAGAACTGAACTAGAACTGAACTAGAACTGAACTAGAACTGAACTAGAACTGAACTAGAACTGAACTAGAACTGAACTAGAACTGCAACTAGAACTGAACTAGAACTGAACTAGAACTGAACTAGAACTGAACTAGAACTGAACTAGAACTGAACTAGAACTGAACTAGAACTGAACTAGAACTGAACTAGAACTGAACTAGAACTGAACTAGAACTGAACTAGAACTGAACTAGAACTGAACTAGAACTGAACTAGAACTGAACTAGAACTAGAACTGAACTAGAACTGAACTAGAACTGAACTAGAACTGAACTAGAACTGAACTAGAACAGAACTAGAACAAAACTAGAACTGAACTAGAACTGAACTAGAACTGAACTAGAACTGAACTAGAACTGAACTTGAACTGAACTTGAACTGAACTTGAACTGAACTTGAACTGAACTAGAACTGAAATAGAACTAAACTAGAACTGATCCTGAATTAAAAAAGATTTCGAATTCTCCACAAAAATTTTAATAATTTTCCCTTCTTTGAGTACAGTTTCTTGTAAAATGGTCTGGAAAAATCTAGTTTGTGGCTTCTAAAATTTTTAGATAAAAACAACAACAAAATCGAATGTTTATGTTTCATAACATTATATTATTATATTCGTTATATAATGCTATTCGAACAATTAATCATTTAACTTATTATTTAATATCTTTCTAAGACATAAAAGTGACTATTTCTATTTCTTTAATATAAATTTTCTATTTTTTTCTATTTTTAGGTAAGTTTTCGTTATTGTCAATGAAATTGTCTTTTAAACCCGAATAAATTTATTGTAAGTATTTATTGAAATTCTGTTTTCTAATTTTATATGATATTTTCATTAAAATATCGGATTTATAGTGAATTTAAGAAAATCTTTTATTTTAAATTTCTTTCATAAAGCTCATGTAGAAATGTATTTCAAATGTGCATACTTTTAGGAAAATTATTTTCTGCATATTCTTAGGAGCAAAAATTAATCATATTATGTGTTGTTAATTCTTGTCATTAAGTTAATATACAAAAACAAGCAACTTATCTTAAACTTAATATTCTATATTTAAATCTTTTAGCATAATGCTAAATCCCTTATTTATCATTTTGCCTACTTTAAGGATTTTCTTATTTAATATTAAAATTTTATAAACTTAAAGTTCATTTTTACTGCAAAAATAATACCCTTATATTCAATTTTCTTCTCCTTAGATAATGTGGTTTTATATTATATACATATTCCTTGTAGTTGTGTGTTTCTGCTAGAATTTTTAAATATTTTCCAAGTAAATATTGACTCATTTCTAACGCCAGCTAGAGAGTGAAGTCTATTATTAAGGCTTTTGAATGCGTTCACTTAACAACAACTTAATCCCTGAACTTTATTCTTAACTGTAATCAAATTGTAACTTAAAAACAAAAACAAAAAATAATAGAAAAATAGAAAAGAAATTCAGGCTGCAATCTAAATATGAGTAGCAAGCCATAGATAGTGGTAGATAGTGGCTGCTGTGCAGTGTTAGTGGTTTCTTGTTTTACATTTAGATTTTTCTCTTTTATAGTATTTTTTGTATTTATTTATATTTTTGTTGCTGTGTGTTGTTGTTTTGTTCTTTATTCTTTTTGTTGTCTGTGGCTTGTTAACAGAAATTTATTTAAATCTCTTTACAAGTTGGGTTTTTTTTATATATATTAAGATATATTTTTAAATTTTTACTTTTTCTGTCGTTTTTTATTATCTCACTCTTAGCAATATTTCGTGTTATAAATATATAGCATAGTCTCAGGCTGTAGAGGTAAAATGTGAGTTGTTTTGTGTGTTGTTTGGTAGGTGTGTTCACTTTTTTTTATACATTATTTTTTTATAGATATTAATTTTTATTTATTTGCCAAAAAGATTATCTCCACAAAAAAATTTAAACCTAAATTTAAAAATTGTTCAAGAAATTTTTGCAGAAAATTAGAAATTTTACTGAAATTTTTTTTAAAAAACTAAATTTTGTTGAAGTCCGAAATTTTATTTAAATTTACAAGATTCCAAATTTTTACAAAAAAAAAAAAAAAAAAAAAATAGAATTTTTCGTAAAATAAAGTAATTTTAGTGCAAATTACAGTCTAATGAAAGTTCAAAATTTTAATAAAACTATACAGTTTTTTTTTTTAATTCAGACTTAAAAATAGACTACAGTCAAGGCTATAGACTTATCTATAGTCGGGGCTAAAGGCTAATCTCTAATCAAGGCTATAGTCAAGGCTATAGATTAGTCTATAGTCAAGACTATAGATTGATCTATAGTCAAGATTGATCTATGGTATGACCTATAGTCAAGTCTATATACTGATCTATAGTCAAGGCTATAGACTGATCTATAGTCAAGACTATAGACTGATCTATAGTCAAGACTAAAGACTAATCTGTACTCAAGATAATAGACTGATTTATAGTCAAGACTATAGAGTGATCTATAGTCAAGCCTATGGAGTGATCTATAGTCAAGGCTATGGACTAATCTATATTCAAGACTATAGACTGATATAATCAAGACTATAGACTGATCTACAGTAAAGACTATAATTCAAGACTATAGACTGATCTGTAGTTAGGACTATAGACTGATCTATAGTCAAGACTATAGACTGATCTATAGTCAAGACTATGGACTAATCTATAGTCAAGACTATGGACTAATATAAAACTATAGTTAAAACTATAGTCTGATCTATAGTCAAGACTATTGACTGATCTATAGTTTATACTATAGACTTATCTATATTCAAGACTATAGACTTATCTATACTCAATACTATAAAGTGATCTATAGTCAAGTCTATAGACTGATGTATGGTCAAGTCTATGGACTGATCTATACTTAAGACTATAAACTGATCAATTGGTGGGACTATAGACTGATCTATAGTTGGGACTATAGATTGATCTATAGTTGGGACTATAGACTTAAGGCTATAGACTTATCTATAGTTGGGGCTAAAAGCTGATCTCTAATCAAGGCGATAGTCAAGGCTATAGATTAGTCTATAGTCAAAACTATAGATTGATCTATAGTATGACCTATAGTCAAGTCTATATACTGATCTATAGTCAAGGCTATAGACTGATTTATAGTCAAGACTATAGACTGATCTATAGTCAAGACTAAAGACTAATCTGTACTCAAGATAATAGACTGATTTATAGTCAAGACTATAGAGTGATCTATAGTCAAGCCTATGGAGTGATCTATAGTCAAGGCTATGGACTAATCTATATTCAAGACTATAGACTGATCTATAATCAAGATTATAGACTGATCTACAGTAAAGATTAGAATTAAAAACTATAGACTGATCTGTAGTTAGGACTATAGACTGAACCATAGTCAAGACTATAGACTGATCTATAGTCAAGACTATGGACTAATCTATAGTCAAGACAATGGAATAATCTAAAACTATAGTTAAAACTATAGTCTGATCTATAGTCAAGACTATTGACTGATCTATAGTTAATACTATAGACTAATCTATATTCAAGACTATAGACTTATCTATGCTCAATACTATAGAGTGATCTATAATCAAGTCTATAGACTGATATATATTCAAGTCTATGGACTATAGACTGATCTATAGTTGGGACTATAGATTGATCTATAGTTGGGACTATAGAAGATTGATCTAAAGTGAAGACCATACACTGCTCTGTAGTCAAGACCATAGACTGATATACAGTCAAGTCTATAAACCAATCTATAGTCAAGACTATAGACTGATCTATATTCAAGACTATAGTCTGATCTATAGTCGAGGCTATAGACTGATCTATAGTCAAGACTATGGAAGAAAGCGTTATGTAACTGGAAAAATGTATTAAAATTCTTTAGACACTAGTTATCAATAATTTTAAAGCCACCTTGCTTCAAGTCCACTTATTTTGTTTAAAGAATTAATTACATATTTTAATTTTATAACATTTTATTGCAAAAAATTCTTTATATAACTATTAAGTATTTACTAGCTAAAGTTTTCCTTGTTCTTTTTTTTCATCCTGTACACGAGAAAAGAAATCTTTTGAATTTCCGTCCATGCTGTTGCAACAATTCAATGTATTCTTTTCCTCACACACACACACCTCCACCACCCCAAAAAGCGACCAAAAACTGAATACCATTTTTCTTTAGATTTAACTACTGTTTGCTCTCTTTGGACCAGCAAAATATGAGTTTTAATTAAGCAGAACAAAATAAAATTAACAGAAAAAGTTTGTATGTAAAAAAAAAAAATTAATTAACAAAAGTACAGCTAATCAAAAATATATAAAAATTCAGCATAACGATCTACTTAAAACTTAAAGGCAAATTATAGCAACTTATCTTAGAAATAATACTTTTATGAAATTTTTCACTCAGTATTTGTTTTTACATAACTTACAGTAATTAAAACTACACCGAGCTTCGAAAATATAAATGCTCCTATTATTATATTGTTGAATGTATTTCCTCTATTATTAAATTTTTCCAAGACCAAAGTGTTCCATTCTGTGGTAAATTATGTCTGTGTTGTGTAATTTCTTATAAACAAAAACTAAAAAAAAACAAGCATGCAAAAATATTTTCATAAAAAACAAGACATGCATAGAAAACATTTTAACTATACGCCTACACCTCTACTACATACAAGCATAAATACATGTGTGCATGTCCAAATTTTGTTAAAATTTCCCTATTTCTAAGCAGACAAAGAAAATAAACGACTAAAAAGTCGTTTTAAATCAGCTTAGAACTGGCTGGTATTTTGAAGGATTTTCATGTTGATGAAAACGTATTAGACTGAATTTTATTTAAAGTCAGCTTTAAAAATCCTTCTGACAATCATAGCATCATAGGACTCTATTTGAACATCATATAAACATTTCAAAATTTTGCTTTTTATTATGAATATTTTAAAAATAAGCCTTTTAAGTTTACCCTCATAGAAAAGATTTATGTATGACGTGTTTTGTCATGCATATTATATAAGGGGTGTACATCCAAAAAATTACAGAATTATATTATAGACTAGTCCATAATCTAGTCTTTAGTCATTTGACTAGACTATATATCAGTCTATAATATTGACATGACTGATATATGTATATCAGTCTATAGTCTTGACCATAGCTCAGCCTATAGTCCTGACTATTGATGAGTCCATAGTATTGACTATAGATCAGCCTATAGTCTTAACTATAGATCAGTCATAGTCTTGACTATAGATCAGTCATAGTCTTGATTATAGATCAGGCTATAGAACTGACTATAGATTGGTCTATAGTGTTGACTATAGATCAGTCTATAGTGTTGAATATACATAGATCAGGCTATAGTCTTGAATATACATAGATCAGTCTATAGTCTTGACTACAGATCAGTCATATAGTCTTGACTATAGATCAGTCTATTGACCAGTGTATAGTCTTGACTATAAATCAGTCTATAGTTTTGATTATAGACCAGTCTATAGTCTTGACTATAGATTAGTCTATAGCCTTGACAATAGATCAGTCTATAGCCTTGACAATAGATCAGTCTATAGCCTTGACTATAGATCAGTCTATGGTCCTGACCATGGATCGGTATATAGTCTTGACTATAGATCGGTCTAGTCTATAGTCTAGTCAATAATCTATAGTCTATTCTATAGTCTATTCTATAGTCTAGTCTATAGTCTAGTCTATATTCTATTCTATAGTCTATTCTATAGTCTAGTCTATAGTCTAGTATATACTCTAGTCTATAGTCTAGTCTATAGTCTAGTCTATAGTCTAGTCT